ACTAAACACATGCACACACTGCTATACATAAACAAAGAGGTCAGGTTTTGTGCTGATGTCACTAACTTTGCATTCCTAGCTAACATTGTAGAATAGGGATCTGGCTATCCTTGTAGTATATAGTCCTTGAGTCCGTCAGCAGTCTCATTGTGTACAGTAATTAGTGCTTGTCCGTCTTGCTGAAAATCCTACAGGTATTTTTGTCATCAATTTAAAAATTGTAATTATTTTGTGTTGGTGGTTTTATTATTATAAAATGAAACATGCTCTATTTGACATGGCTACAATGAAGAAGCAAAGAAAAACTGAATACGAAAATTGTGAATTTAAAGTTGAATGAATTGAGACTTTCACTTTTATTCAAAACTTAAATGGCCTTCTGAACTGTCTTATTTGTCAGGAAAAATTGGTGCATAACAAGAAGTCAAATTTGGAAAGACACTTTACAACTAAACATGTGTCATTTAGTACTAAATATGCTGTCGGTGATGCAAGGAAGAAAGCAGTTGAGGAACTTCAGAAGAGTCAAGAAAATCAAGTTCTGTATTTATTACTAGATGCAATTTTCCAACAATGTTAATATTGCAAGTTTTGTGGTTAGTCAAGAGATTGCTAAGAGAGGAAAACCATATACAGACAGCAAATACATAAAAAGTTAGTTTTATAAATGCATCAGAAGAGCTATTTCAGGATTTTAAGAACAAAGCAGAATTGTGCCTAAAATTAAAAACAACATACAAACCTGACTTACCCAAACTTTCCAAAGAGATGCAAGGCCATTCTTCACATTAGTGTTTGTCAGTCATTATCATGATTTAATTTTATGGATACTTTACTTACAATTTAATTTTATCAATAAATATCATTATTAAGTATGATATCAAGTTTTCTTCAATGCACCTATTGTTTAATTAAGACTTAAAATTTTAATTAAAGTTTATTGATTAATTAAAGATTGTATGTATGTATGTATTAAGTTAATAATAATGTACCTACCTATATAGTTTGGCTCTCAAAAGAAATCTCAATCATTGTAATGTTGATATTTGGCTCTGTTGACTAATGAGTTTGCCGACCATAGCCCTAGACGTCTACATCACTGATGCACAATTAACTGATTTCCCCTGGAAGTCGGCTTCTTACAGAAACACAGCTTCCCTATCATCTAATGTCACGGCATGCCACTATTGTAGTTGTGTGTGAGTTTTTCTAGTTTGTTGCTTTTTCCAGATGAAAAGTTGATGACATCCTTCATTGCAATTTAGAGTATTTCCATTTCCACTAGTTTGCATTTTTTCTTCCTCGTATTTGTTTCTTTTTGCCATGTAAACACTAAAACGGCTTTTTAAAGCCTATTTGGGCCAGAATGAAACTGCAATGGAACGGCAAGGTAGGGGGGTGGATGCCCTACTTGTCTGGAGCGAATCTCTATGAAAACTTTGCGGTGTTGCTTGTCTGGATTTGCCTGTCTCCTCCTTTCTCAAGTTATATTTCTTATAGAGACAAATGGTCATATACTCGCCCACAGAAAAAAGGTTAAAAAATACCACATATGTGACTTAAGTTGTCAGGTCTCATGAAAAAACTGACTGGGGTCATTCATCATAACATTATACAATGGTTATTTATCCAACAAGGTAAATTGAGAGACCCCACATAATTGATTATTTCCTGAATGAGAAACCCATACAAACCATTTCATTCTAGAACAGATTTTCTAAAGGGTTTTAATATGAACTGTTTTCAACTTTTTTTTTTGTTTTGTAAGTGTATCTTTTAATACTTAAATTAATTCAACAGTAACATATTGTGGCACAATGTGGATACTTTATTGTTGCAATGAAAAAAAACTCCAAAAACTGGACATCTTAACTACAATTAATATCAAAAAACCTTAAATTCAGTAAAAATAGACTGCCTTGGTGGTCTTTGCCTGTGACAGTGATGTAAATGTTTTGTTTGGTAGAGCAAGACTATTACATCACACTTTGGCTACAACAAGACTCAAATATTTGTAAACTCAAAATTTATAAGGTTAGTGAGTAAGGGACTGCAATTAACTTTAAAGATTCTGCAGTTGTGTCACATGTTTGAAGTGCATTATTTGAAGTTTTATACTGTAGTTTTTTTTTTTTACCATTTTACTATATTTGTGTTTTTACTCACAATATTTGTATATATTGTTGTATTTATTTAATATTTTTCTTGATGATTATTTATTCCTATTTTCTATCTTTTATTTAATATATTTTATGCTGTTGTGCATGTGACTTGCTATGTAAATTTGTAATTTTGAATGTTTTTAATTTCAAATATGCTTCCTGTTCTATTCATTAATACCATTCAGGAACCCAAAGATGGTCATTATACATGGTCGAAAATATTCATTCCATTAATGAACTTTGTTTTTATTGGATTTATGGTTTCCTGAAATTAACTTTATTGTTATATTGAGAAGTTTTATAATCACCCTGTATAGACTTTTCATTTAAAATTTACAGTATATAAATTTATTTTTTTCACATATTTTACTAATGTATTTATACATTAGTAAAATTTATTCATACACAGATCAATTAATATTTTATTTCTTAGAGCATCAAGTTATATTTCTTAAAGAGACAATTATGATTATAATTCCTGACATTAAGTTATTCCTAATCAAATTCTTTCCTAAGAAATTTGTAGTGTATTTATGTTTATACAAAAAAGTTTTAAAAGATTCATTTCAAAGATTTTATAAGTCTTATTTTTCAGATGAAAAAAAGACAACTGGAATTTCTTCACTCTTAATTGTCAATTAATGTACTAGGCAAGAAGTTTATAGTGTATCATTAATTTCAACTAAGAATCAAGGTTTAGAAAATTATATATATATATATATATATATGTTATGGACCAAGTAATTAATCGGGCATTAGATTAATCACTTGGTTCATAACATAAATAATGACTAAAAAGGATACACAGTGTGATAAATTTTGATTAATTTATCAAATTGACCAGTAATTATGAATACTGCTATCAACTAGTTGGGCAAAGTGATAATAATACGAGGAGTGATCATCCGACAGACACTAGCCAATCAGCACTCCGAGTTGCCGATTGTATCGCATTGAGTGTGTATCGCGTTTAGTACCAAATTTTTAATTGTGTGACATTTTAATTTGATTAAAAAGCTCCACTTATTTCATTTAGAAATATTTATTTTTTATGAATTATTTCAAAGCATTTTAAAAGAGCATGTAATCTTTTAAAACTAAGTACTATTAACTATATTAATTAAATGGTAAAATTTTACCTATGTGCACCGTCATGGCAGCAGTTGCAACTGTTTGTGCTCCCGATGGAATCTTCCCAGAGGGGAGTGGCCAGCAGGCCACCAATTGTTTAACGTCAGTTGTTATTTATACATACTACTTATTGATACATGTGTTCAAGAACTATTGTGAATCAATAACTACCGACATTAAACAACTGGCAGCCTGCTGGCAGTTCCCTCCAGGAGGGATCCATTGAGAGCACAAACAGTCACGACCGCCGCCAAATTTGGTACTAAATGCAATATGCACACGCAACTCAGATGCGAGTGCTGATTGGCTAGCGTATTTTGGATGATCACTCCTCAACGTATTATCATCACTTTGCCCGACTAGATGATAGCAGTATTCATAATGACCGGTCAATTTGATAACTTATTGAAATTTATTATAATGCCCGATTTTGTTGGTCATTATTCATAATGCCCATATTAATCACTTTGTCCATATATATCTTTTAATGTTGTCAACTTAAACAACTAATTAAAAAGTTTCTAACTGGAAAAAAGTAAAATAGTTTAGTTTTAAAAAAATTTAAATTAGAAATTCACATATATTTTAAATGAAATACTATATATATTATATATAAATTAGGTACCAAGAATTCTCTTTCAATAATTCTTTTGCATAATATATAATTAGTTCACAAGATGAAAATACTTACAATATTTTTTGGGAGATTTGTATGTATTTTTGTCCTACATAATCTGCAATCTCTAAAGGATGTAGAACTTTTACCTAGTTAAGAAACATTGCATAAGATATCAACAAAGCATTTCAAGAACTGAATCCAAGCTTGTATTAATGAATGGAAAAGTACTGTACATAAAGAATAATCTAATTTTTATTTCTAATTTCCACTTTAACTGAATTTGGATTTTGAAACTTTTTTTGATATGAAGTTTATAAAAAAAAAATTAGATATTTTACAAAATAAGAGGTCTTACTGAGAGAGATTTATTTATATTTTTAATGCTTTTTAAGGTATCAGATATATTTATAGAGATTTCACAAATAAGAAAATTAATAAATTTCTTCTATATAATAGATTACACCAAATTTATCACTATTGATCATGTGAATTTCTTTGAAAAATGTACTGTATTCAGTAATACAGATGAAAAAATTATAGCTTGAACTGTATTAATGATTATTGTATTTTTGTACATATAATCCACAGTTTAGCTGTTTAAAAAAATAATTTGAAAGAGTTCTGGTAATGCAATTGGGTGGGTTATTTGCTGATTTTAAATTGCAATTACACATACCTATGGAACAACAATTCTCTTTGAGTGCAAGTATATGGTGAGGGGAGGGTTATGTGAAGGTTTTGTTTTCATTCTAGCAATTTTATACAAGTTATGTGCTGCCACAGATTATATGCACAACATTCAGTACTCAGAACAAAATTCAATTAACCATTATACATTGTTAATAAGATTCAACCAACATATTGATTTGTAATTCTATTTATTTTCATTATTATGTAATTTGATTGAAAACTTTCAACAAAATTCATTGCCAAAGATTTAAAACTTTTTTGTAGACAGAAAACATTGTCATAGTATTGCCTTTACTACTATTCTGAAAATTTTTTATATTAATCTCATCAATAAATTTTTGAAAAATTTTTCTGAAAACTGATATGCTTAAATTGAATTTTTAAATATTAAAACTTACTCTATCTGCCACACTTCCAGGAAGGATTGTTTTAACAACAACTCCAGTACTTCTGCCACCAATTATTCCAAATCCTAAACCAGATCCATCATTTGTTAATTCAATTGCTTCCACCTGAGCCCACTCTGTAGTCAACTAAAACAAAATAAAAATATTTAAATGTTAAAATGATAACAAACGTGTATTAACTTTTTATTTTTAACACGTTTGTTGTTATTTCATTAATAATTCTCATTATTCTGTTCATAAATTGGATTTAAGATCTACAAGAATCATATTTTTACCATAACATTTTTTACTAATTATACAACTGTTTAATTTTGTTCACATCTGAATGCAGTTTTTTAAAAATTATTAAACAGTTCAAGTGAACAATTTTAGAAAGGCTTAAATTTCCACCAAAGCAAATATTATAAGTTTAAACTAACACAAATTTGATATATAAACAAAATTTAATCAGCATAAATAGTAAACAAATAAAAAATTGCTTAAAAAAGTAAAAAACAAGTTATATAATTTTGCAAAATACATTACAATAGACACAATAATTATTTAACAATTCTATTTAATAAGCTATTTCCAAACAGATTGTAATGAATCTCCTAATAAAAATGTCACTGACATTGTTTGATACATTGGTAAGAGATGGCAATGCAAAATGGTAGAAATAGATATGAAATGGACTTGTCAATAGAACATTTGAACATTTATTCTTATGTCTTCCAAACTATCAAAACCATTTCTTGGTTGCATTTATAAGTTAAAGCTACAACATTTGAAATAATTGTTGTTTTTGTAGTTAACCCAATTCAGCATCTAATTTGGTTATTAAGTTGTCATTCACATCTGCTTCAATTTTATCGTAGGAATCAAGATCTTGACTACCATCTTTTGTTTAAAGCTTTGATTCCAACTTATCATCTCTTTTGGAAAGAGATGGTACATTGGAATCAAAGTTTATCTTTCAGCTGATAAGCTCTTGGTTTATGAATTCAATCATAACTTTCCCATGCTCAATATTCAACAATATTTATAAATTTATTTAAAAAAGTTCTTCTGTAAATCTTGGAATAGAAAATGCTGTCCAACTCTAGATAATCTGAAGATATAGAATTTTAGTTTAATTAATTCCTTATGTGTACTTTAAACTACAGTAATATACAGTGCAGTACTTCAATATGTTTCCCATGCTTTTCAACTCAGGGTTTATTTGAAGACCAGGATTTAAGCAAGGAAGTACAGTATATATTGTTTCATCCATATTAACATTTTTCTTAAACTTCAACAATAAATTTTATTGAAATTATAACATGCATAAACAATCAAATGTTATGCATTTAAAGAAAACTTTTTCTTTTTATGAGTAAAGTTTGATATTGATTGTTTATGGACAAAACTACTTTCCCAAATTAATTGATTATAAAATAAAATGCAAAATTGTTCAGGAAAACTATCTATACTAATATTATAAAGAGGTAATGTTTGTAAGTAAGTTTGGATGTAGCGGGTAATCTCCAAAACTACTCATCCGATTTCAAAAATTCTTTCACCAATATTTAGAATGGAACTTCGGGGTGGACATCGGCTGTATATTATTCCAGTAAACATTCATATAAATTAAAAGATATCATCTAGGGTTAAGGCTTTTATGTCCAACAGATGGCGCTACAAGTATGATGACCTAAGTTTGCTTTTCTGTGAGGATGAACTAAAGCATATCATCTTCTATCTATCTACATAAATAAAAATGTAATGTTCGTTTGTTCCTACCGATTCCTTTGAAATTTTGACACAACGCTGCATTCGAATACACACGTGTTTTTATATAATATACATGTCGAAATTCCCCCCACCGGGGGGAGTTGGGTTGGATTAAGGCTTACCGTAAAGAACTCTGCTTCTATTTATACTGTTTTAGATGCGGTTTTTTGCCTTTTAATAGGGTACGTCAACAGAATATACACTAAGAAGGGATTTTTCGAAAATTCCCCCCATGGGAAAAGTGTTACACATTTATAATAGATACATTTTGAGCCACAACAACGCGTGGCGGGGTCTGCTAGTTTATTAATATAGCAAAATTTAAAATTTCTCCTTGTGTGTTTCATCATTAAAATCAACATAACTAACTATTCAATGAATTAAAATATTTTGATGAAAATTTGATTTCAGAAATGATAATTTTATTATAGAAACTTATATTCCTCTCATTAAAATTTACTGATTACTTACTTGATTCAAATTTCTTCTCTAATAATAATCTTTTAACTGATTTGTCTGAAAATATTATATTGTTTGTGTATATTGCAAAAAGAGCTTTTTGGAAATTTGTTTTTTAAGTAATAGTACAAAATGAAATGCTGAAATAGAATTTTTAATATTTAATATATAATTATTGCTTATCTATATTACAAATATTTTGATTATCTGATGCATTATGGGATATGACAAAAAAAATTAATAAAAAATATGGCAGACCCACTAAGTCCACTACAACACAGAGTTGCTACATTTAATAAACTATTCTTTCATATCTGATGTGATGGCTCAACACTGATTTTCCTTTTTTTTTTTTTTTTTAATAAACTCAGTTCTCATTCTGGTAGGAATTCCTCTAAAAATCACATACACAAACAAAACACCAGGGATGGCAAACCTTTTTGAGTGCACATGCCATATAGTAAGCATACTGTACTTACCTTTAAAAATGTTTAAACATGCTTTTTAAACTTTGAATAATAATATTTTAAAAAATTAAATGAATGTGTTTTAATTTGAATAAATGTAAAGAAGCTGATTGAAAAAAGGATGATTAGGGGAGAAACCTAAAGGATGATTGAAAAAGACAGATGATAAATCAAAATCATATGATACATTATGTACTGTACAGTACCAGATGATTTCTCCTACCTAGGCCACTTTGACAGGCATGTTATAAGTTTTCCACCCTCTGGAAAAGACAAATATAACTTTCTCCATGACACTGTCTACTCTTTCTGTCCTTTTTTCCATCCCCAACATAAGTAAAGTTGTAAAACAAAGCCTCTGCAGTGTTCAGCGCAACGAGAATAAAAAACAGGTATAACATAAAGAACAAAACTTTATTTTATACCGTATGAACACAAAAAAAAAAAAAAAGATCAGGTCCCAACTCTGGTGCATTGTTTGTGAATACTTTTATGCAATAGATAAGTACAATCAAGATGCTTACACAAAAGGATATTCTCAACCACTTTTCAGGATCCACACACATAGGGTTCAAATCACAAAAATATATACAAAGATCAGTTGTGCTTAAAACTACCTTACAAACTATTTTTACTCTAATTAATACTAAAAGAGGGTAGAGATGTTAGATTGAGAGAGATAGATTTATGAAGAAAGAAGTCTTTAAAAAAGGGTACCCATCACTTCACATTTCATGATGAAACCATCCAAATATATCTTTGCAGTTCTCCTGGATTTCACTGGTATATCTATTTTCCTTCTTAGTTGTTACTAGTTCTCTTTTCTTTTGGTCTTCTAAGAGAGATATCCTGTTTTGACTCTCAAGACTCACCGGCGCTTTCTGTACCGACCGTATATCTTAGCTGTCGTACCTTTCACTTCAGATACCACTCAAACCCAGAGCTCGCCCTCTGCACGTCTGCCTTCCTTGGGAACTTGACCAAAAAGTGCTGACTATTATTTTGACAAAAAGTATATATATTGACCAAAAAGTGCTGACTGATATTTGCCCTTAGGGCCTTCTCCACTCTATTGTCTAACACTCACACCCATGGAAGTAGGGCAAAGGTGGAAAGTTCTCGAACTCGGTAATAAAGGAAAATCAAGAACAAAAGGGAAATTGATAGGCTAGGAAAGGTAGGTGATAGAAAATGAAAATAACAATTTAAAAACTATACATGAATAAATGGCATCATGCCACACCTCCATTTCCATGGAAAAGGTGGTAGACACAAGTATAGTAAAAAATGAAATGACCTTGAAAGTTTTTTGTATCCATAAATACTTCTAGCTAAATTTGTTAAAATCTCATTGTAAGTGCAATATTAACAAAAGATATTAATAACAATTATAATATTATATTGAAATCATCTAATTACTTAGCATTATTTTTTATGAAGGAAGTGCCATAAGTTTACAACCTAACCTACTGTGCATGACTGAAAGTCGTGTCCAGTAGGTTAGACAAGTATACAAAAGTTTTTATCTTTAACTGTCTACTTGGACATTGCTTATTAGTAGGACGTTACACTGGTGTTTAATATTTGATACAAAATGACAGTTAGATCAGAAAAAATAAATCCTTTATTTTTTCTGATCTAACTATTGATATCAATTTTGTATCAAATATTAAACACCAGTGTAACGTCCTACTAATAAGCAATGTCCGAGTAGATAGTTAAAGATAAAATTAGATATAAGGACAGTAAGGCATTGTTAATTAATTAAGTATATAAAAGATTAATGTCTTATTAGTGTTTGATGTAAATTTAGTGCCTATAGTACTAAAAGATGATTTATAGTGGACTTCTGTATATGACATGGCAGCAAATTTTAAACTAGAGTATCAGGCAGTCATCAAGTTTCTTACAAAAGAAGTCCAAGCACCCATGGAAATCAAGCAACACCTAGATCATATGTATGGAGAAACTTTGCCATCATATATCACTGTCAAAGACAGAGCCGGACTACCACAGGTTGAACGGAGCAGCCACTCCAGGTGATGTCCTAGGAGGCGCCTCAGTGGTAAAGAAAATTAAAGGGTATAAATTAAGGGCAACCAAGGGGGGACACCATAATAGGATCTCGCTCCATCCTAAAACTTGCCTCGGGCCAGCACTGGTCAAAGAATGGGTTAAATGTTTTTGATTAGAACAAGAATCCTTTGAAGGTGATGCAAAGTCTGGTTGACCAGTAGCTGCAGTAACCTCAGAAAAAAAAAAATTGGTGTGGTGGCACTGGCTCTTTCAGATCACAGCCTGAAAGTGAAAGAAATAGCAATAATGACATATTAGATATGAGTGTTCAGCATATACTTCATGAGCATTTAGGCATGAGCAAAGTCAGCACAAGATAGTTCCCAAACTTCTTTCTTCTGTCCAACAGCAACATCATGTAGAAAATGTGCA